AATGTAGCCAATCCTAATGAGTTTCTGCTGTTAGGTGTGACCTATTATGCTAATGAGTTCCTGCTGGGCGTGGTAAACTCAGGAGCCAGCCGGAACTCCGTTCCTGTGTATTCCTGCCCAAAAATAGCCCTGGTCCTAAACCCAGTCACTGGAGCCACACTTGTAGAGACACCTAAAATTGTCTTATCTCATGCTTCCTGGCAACACTACCTATCATATCCTTAACCACTCCTTCAAGAATATGGGGATTATTTACTCCATCTTGTTTGGACTCACTTTTCCCCATGTACCCACAGCTTCTGCACAGTGCTTTAAAACTGAGACAGCTACTCCTGAATGCTTCGTTAATTATATATTTGAGGCTAGGTGTCATCAGCATGTTGATGAATGCCAATCCCATTGCCTTGGATGATTCCAAAAAAAGTTTTACACAGAAATTAAGGTGCATTGGTGAGTCCTATGGAACCATGATTCTCAGCCAACATCAACAATGAACAACTGCGGAGGCAGCCAGAAAGAATACATTTGAATTGCTGGAGGGGGATGCTAGATATCCTGAGCAGCCATTTAAAGTATTTCATGAAAATGGGACAGCATCATTCCACTGAGAGTTCAAACAGGACTAACAGGTAGATATTCTTTCAACCTCGAGATGAAGTTCATCCACTAGAACTACCAAGGAAGTCACAATCCCATAACTGGCTGATCCAAGACAGAAAAAGACTGAGGAAGAATGTTTAATCTAAGGAATAATCGAGTGGGTCTACTAGTACATACTTAAGTTCCCTAAGAAAAGAAGACTGGATTCTAGTCAAAACAGATTTTAGGAGTTGCTTGATCATTGCAAATAGGACCTTGCCCTCCTCTACTGAAGCACTGATAACACTGGGTAGTAGAAAAGAAAACAGTCCAGATCACCTTCAGCAGAAATGCTGGGCACAAATCCAACCTGCATATACCAGCCTTCAAAACAGCAGAGACACTATTCACATCCTCAAGGGAAACAAAGCTGAACTAATGTAAACAACTGTGACACGTGTCTGCTTCTGATACTCCTTTGCAGTAACTGCTGCACCCAGGGTGGATTGCATCAGAAGGATATTATCAGCAACGAAGCACAAAATATGTTACACCCACACAGAAAAAGTCACAGTGATCTCTAGACCTTTCACTTTTTGGCAAAATGTCTTTAGAGTATAACTGGTTGCACAGAATCCAGAACACTATTGCTGTAGATCATGTTTGCCACGAATACTGTGGAGTTACACAACTATTTCTTACAGTAAATATGAAGAGTGACAGATGTGCCTGAAATACCTGTGAACATGCATTAGGGGGTTGTGAGTTGGACTACAGCTCTATGCAGCATGTCCAGAGATATTTAAGGATATGCACTTATAATTCAGAGCTTAATTTGCCACAGAAAACAGTGATGTGGTTTCACTGTTCTTGTGGCAAATGTGATTTCCAGATAAAATGTAGAAAAACTATGATTTGCCCCTTGAGCTGAAAACAAATCAGAAGCAAGTTAAAGACCTGCCATCCCAGGATAATTTATCTATAAACAACCCATTAATAATGTCAACACTTTTCCACATAATGATACCTTGTAAAAGTTGTCATAAAATTTAATGGTCACAGAGAAGCCTAAGCTTCTTGGAACAGAAACAAAAAAACCAGGAAGTTGTGGGGAAGGAAGGAAGAAAGATAGGTCAGGATAGCTCCAGATCTTGAGACAGGTACCAGGGATATGAGACCCCCCCTCAACTCCAAACTGTCAGCCAGTGTTCCCTCTAAGCTGAGTTAGTGTGAGTTAGCTCACCGTTTTTTAGCCTCCGGCTCACACATTTTTGTCTTGGCTTAGGAAAGATGGCTCCAGAGCAAACTAATTTATGCAGTAGCCAAATCGCTCGCTCACAACTTGAATGCCAGTAGCTCACAAAGTGGAATTTTTGCTCACAAGACTCCACAACTTAGAGGGAACGTTGCCAGGGTTGTTGGTTTTTTTTATATAGATAGGTCAGAGGAGAAGGTTCTTCACACAAAAGTCTACCAGTGTTATAGGTCAAATATCTCAGTACCAATGATAATACACACACGAAAAAAAGTCTGCCTCATACTAGCCATGTTCACAAGTTACAGTGAATACACTACAATCCATGTACAGTGTATTCTTGATTTTCCTTTAGGCATGTGCTGAGTAATTTTCGTGTTACATTCAACACACATATGGCAGAATGTGTGATTTAAATTGAAGATTCACCCAGATACTGGTCCCTGGTTTCATTTGTAAAGTGAATGCACATTGGGTCTTCACAATATATGTGTGTTCAATGTAACTTGTGAACAGGGCTACTGAGTCAGACCATTGGTCTATCAAGATCAGTGCTGTCTACTCTTGATTGGCAGAAGGACTCCAGTGTCTCAGATCATTCACATCACCTACTATCTGGTCCTTTTAACTGGGGATGCCAGGGAAGAACCTTCAACCATCTGCATGCAAAGTAGGTACTCTGCCACTGAGCCACAGTCCCACCCATTGGAATAAGTTCTTTGTGACTGGAGAGCGGAACTGCTGCTGAACACAATACATTTTGGTCAAGATGTTTGTGATTTAGGGATCTGATGCTGTGCTGGCAAAAGCTTAACTTCTTTTCATGGGAAAAAAGTACTTCGTACAACACTGACAAATGCACAGGTTTTTTCCCCCGCTTCTCTCCTCTCCCAGTAATGGTTCACAAATATCCTTTTCTATTATTCCATTATTAATGCAGTCAGTAAAAATGAGTAATTCCAAATGAAACAGGAGGAAGCACAGTCAAGCTACATAACTCTTTCAACAACCACTTTTTAATTTTTTTGAGCCATTATCTGTATTTTTATGGATGTTCTTGTCAGCTGGTGATTGTTAAAATGACAGATATTAACTGTGTAGTTCTGCAGCAGTTTGTTTTAAAAATTCATATTGGCAGCTCATACCCATTTCGGCTGAAAAATAGGTGATCAAAAGGCTGCAAAGCAGCTACAAGGACATTAATATAGTTGAGAATCCAATTAATCTCAAAATATGATTGCTACTATTCCAATTAGCCAGCTGTTACTGATTAAGTAATTTGTTAAAAATACAAAACTGTTAGGTAGAAGAAAAAAAGAAATCAATGGGATCCCCCCAAACTTTTCAATGGAAATCTATGAATCAGTGTCTGAACCATCTTATGACTTATCAGAATATGAACAAGGCCCTTAAGCTCCTCTTCAGAAATCACTTTAGGTGATTTCTTTAGGCGCACTCCTATGTATTCATAGCAACACCAGCTGAAAGTCTCTTAACAGTAGCCATACTCTGCTCCCCTCTCCAAATCTGTCTGTCCTGCCCTTCTCTTCCTTGACTCATGCTCTTCCACCATAGTAGGTTCTAAGAGCACTGGGCCTATAAATTGCAGTGTCAACAGTTGCAACAATGAAAGCAAAGGCGAGATTAGATGATATGTTAAACACAAGTTGGGTTGGAGGAACCCCCAACCCAACTCACATTTAAAGTGTGACCCAGCATTCACCTTAAAACAGTGTGTGTGTGTGTGGGGGGGTAGATCAGCTACCAAGTACACCATGGCGGCAGGGAGGGCTTCGTCATTCCCACATACCTTTGCTAGCAGAAAAGAGCTGTGGGGGTGGGCTATTCATCTTACTGCTGGTGCCACACATCTCCTGGCAGACACTCACTCAGGTGCCAATTTGCCTTCTGCCCAATACTATTTCTAAGGTTTGTGACGGGCCACACATTAAAAGCAAGTTGGGTTGGGATCAATGCTCCCTCTAAGCTGTGGAGTCTTGTGAGCAAAAGTTCTCCTTTGTGAGCTACTGGCATTAAAGTTGTGAGAGAGCGATTTAGCTACTGCATACATTAGTTTGCTCTGGAGCCATCCTTCCTAGGCTAAGACAAAAATGTGTGAACCAGAGGCTAAAAACCTGTGAGCTAGCTTACACTAACTCAGCTTAGAGGGAACACTGGTTGGGGTTTCCTGAAATTTCAGTCCTTTCCCCTCCCCCCCGCCAAACCACTAATTATCTGTATATATTTGATAACAGACATCAAGAAAGGGACATGCACCTGGAACACAGGGACTGCATTACAAATATTACAACTACATTCCAAATTTCAGTACCAACAATGATCACACCACAAAACGGATAACGGCGACTGATTTTTATGCTCCAATAACCTTTTCTTTGCTAACTGCAAAACCCAGCACGAGCAGTTCTAGTTCATTTTATATTATTATAACACATGCCATGAACACTTTTTCCTATCTACATTCAACAATATGGTTACTTAGTAATCTCAACACTATATTACTGATCACCAACTGCATTCCATAGTTACAGTCTGGCCCAGACAGTTCAAAACTAAACCTGGGATTCAAGATATTTTCCAGAGTCTCTATACTTGATCATTATATTTGCAGTACTTAACTGCTATTTCAGAGGATGGATGGCACTGTTCATTCCAGGTGACCTGATGAGCACAGGCTAAGAGGAATAGATATCTGGGCAATTGACTTTCCAGTCAACATCTGGGCAACTGACTGCCCTGTCTCCAGAATGATTCTGTGTTACCCAATTGCAGAGGTCATTTCGGGGGGGATCGCGGGGGAACGCAGTTCCCCCGGGTGAGGTGCGGGGGGGGGCAGGACACATGATGAAGCCCCGCCCCCTGCTTCCAGCCGCCCTGCTTCCGGCCCTCATTCAGCCAGGAGGAGGCAGGAGAAGAGGGAGGGTAAGTTGCTTCCTTCCTGCCTCTCCCCACCCCTGCCTGCCTGGGGCCAGGGAGGGTCTTGGCGGGGCTTCCTCTCACTCCTGCCAGCCTTGTAGGTCCATCGCCAGGCCCCTGATGTCAGGGGGTGTGGCATATGCTAATGAGTTATGCTAATGAGTTCCCCTAGCTCTTTTCCTACGAAACGACCCCTGCCCAATTGTAATATATATTGCAAGTACATTACCTGTGTATTCTAGGTGGAATCCAGCAGCTGACACACTAATATCCGATTGAAAGTTCAGGTATAAATTGTTGGACGTACTGTTGAGAAGTGGAGGTATTGTTGTTCCTGAGGAAACAATAGTCACATATCCGTATACCAGTACAACAATGAATCCAGCTATATTTCATTTCAAAATCTGTATATGAAAATTTGAAATCTGGCAGGAAAAAAAAAATACTGTATTTTGTCGGACAGAACAAAGCTTTGCTGTTTCTAACTGCTTTGTCTCATTTCCTAGCCTGAGGAGCCTTTAAAATGAAGCATCTATTGATGGGGAAATTGTCTTTGCCAACATAAACTGTGCTGTTTCCACGTGGTTTGCTACAAAGACTACTGCACGGCTTTAGCTACCTTATCTATTCAGCATGAAAGGGTTTATGATAATATTTTGTGCCATTCAGTCTTGTTACTCATTATTATTATTTCTGAATGATCAACAGAAATAAAATATTTTCTACTTCACAAAGTGACTATCAATGCTATCCTAAACTCAGTTCTCAATATATCTAATTTTAATGGTGGCCAAATGTGGATATTTAAAATCCAGAGACTGAAGCCATGAACAAAGAAGACTGATCTTTCTTGAAATCTAAGAAAAGCACCAAATTTGCAGGGGGGGGGGAAACAAAGAAACAACCCTGATGTCTTTAAAAATAATACATAGAGGGTTATTACCCCCAAATGATAGAAGAAGCATCTGTAGCTTAAAAACACACACAAATGGTCTCAGTAGCCATTGCTAGGTAACCATGACAGTATTGCTGGCCATCAAGCATTGAGCACCTATGAAGGCTTTCAGGGGGTGAAAGAAATTGTGGAAGGGGAGAAATGAAATGACCACAAGGCCTTGTAGGTCCCCCACTTGTAGCCTTCTAAGTCACTGAATGTACAAGGTTATAACTGCTTAGGATGTCACTGTTCATCCACTACTAGATAACAGTACTCTGTGATACATCTTCTTAATCAGTTCTGTAAGCTGAAAGTAGTAAAATTCTGGTAGCAAGAGGTATCAGTATTCCCTACTCTACTGATGGATTGAAACTGATACATACAATGAAATATAATCCAATCCTGTAGCTTTTTTGCTTCCACACATAGACAACTAGAATGGAGAAGGGTCTAAAAACCTCTTTAAGGTTGTGGTCACATATGCCAGAAAAAACGGGAGGGAAGCGAGGCTATTTCCTCCGGAGGAATTTGACCCGCAGTTGCACGATCACACCTCCCTTTGAAGCTGTGGGCGCAGTCCATCAGTGTGTGATCATATACAACTGCGGGTGAGTCGGGGGGGGGTTGTACCTTCCCCCCCCCATGCACTTAACCGAGGGATCGATGAATTGCACCTCGGCACCGAGGGCTCCCTATGGAGTTTGCGATGATGCGCATACTGCAAAGGGGGGGGGGAAACAATGGCACAGAGTCGGGATGGCCTGATCAGACCATCCCGACGCCATGAGAGCCAGTTCGGTGGAGTGGTTAAGTGCGTGGACTCTAATCTGAGAGAACCAGATATAATTCCCCACTCCTCCACTCGCAGCTGCTGGATGACATTGGGCAAGCCATAGTTCTGTCAGAAGTGTTCTTGAAAAACAGCAGTTTCTGTCAGAACTTTCTCAGCGCCACCTACCTCACAGGGTGTCTGTTGTGGGGATGGGGAAGGGAAAGGAGTTTGTAAGCCACTCTGAGACTCTGAGTGAAGGGCAGGGCATAAATCCAATATCCTCCTCCTCCTCCTCCTCCTCTTCTTCTTCTTGAGCAATCAGACACCAGAAAGTCCATCCGTGGCCCATCACAACCCGTTTACTACCGGGTTTTCCCCGGTGACTTTTAACTCAGATTCTGCAGCAGAGCAGAATGGGATGCCGATGGCTGCGGGGTACTTCCCAGATGTTGTTGTCTGATTGCACCCTTTAAATCCACCCAGCATTTGCACCTATTAATTGTGCGTATGATTGCAGTCTAATATGAACAACAACTAAAATATCTTGTTTAGCAATCTCTAAGCCTTACTCTTAGAAACATGGGATCTTAGGGCAAGTACACACAGAAGAAGAAGAAGAAGAAGAAGAAGAAGAAGAAGAAGAAGAAGAAGAAGAAGAAGAAGAAGAAGAAGAAGAAGAAGAAGAAGAAGAAGAAGAAGAAGAAGA